GGGGGGGGGGGGGGATAGGGTGGAGTAGAGTAGGGAAGGGTAAAGCTCCTCTCGGATTTTAATGTTTGCTGTCTGTGTCACATGGGGGAGACTTTCCTTCCCTTCCTGTCCCATACACAAAACAGAAAATGAAAGGACAGTAAGTGAGGTGTCCCCATTGCAAGATCTTCTCTCACCTCCCGTTCTAGTGCCAGCTGTAACATTTTGGATTTCCCATAACTTTCTATCCTAGGAAAGATGGTCACCAGGACAGACAAGAGAGGGTGAATCCCTAACAGGGACACAGTATAGATTGGAGAAGGATCAGCATCCATGTCAGGTTTTTAATACTGCCTGTGCCTCCATTGGGTAGATTTCCCATCACTTCCAGTCCCAGATGGACCCCAAAGGTAGCAATAAAAACCAGACATGTTCTAACCCTTCCATACTCTATCCAAAATCAAGGTGTTGGCTTTTGATACACTTCATGGTGGGCATCCCCTTCAGCAGTGCCTCTTGAGCATTACCAGTACATAGCCCTTAGTCTAATTCAGACGTAGGCAACCTTGGCACTCCAGCTGTGATGAAACTACAAATCCCATGAGGCATTGCGAAACTGCCAGCCAGCCACAGGCACCATGGAATCTGTAGTTTTACCCCAGCTGGAGTGCCGTGGTTGCCTACCTCTGGTGTAGCTTATTAAAAGTACTTGACTATAAAACATTTCCACATTAATATTGCATAAAATACGATTTCCACTAGTATGTCACTATTTGAAATGATTGGGACCTTGTCATGATCATGAACTTCCTGAAATCAGAAAAATATTTTTTTAAACAAAAAGTAGTAAAACTTCCATAGATGATACATTGACATCACGCTTTCAGCCGGTAACCGTATCAGAAAACATACTACAGGAAGACTATATGATATAATAGTGCAGATTTCATTGTGAAGCTCCCATCAGGACCATGGGATGGGGTGCATGCAGCATTCAATATGGTGATCATGCTCCAGTTTGCTTGAAGTGTATAAGAAAATGCCCATTGTTGGTGGGTGACGTTTTACCATCACAAACTTTAGTGCAACCATCGGTAAGATTCCATTTTGTCCCAAGGACAGAACTGCACTATCCAGCATTAGGTACTTCTGAGTGATGGAGGGCCAAGATATTGGCTGACAACCTTGGAAACAAGTTGATATATTTCAATGATATCTATTCCAGCTGTGTGTTTCCGTCTGCATGTCAGATCCAGCAGAAGCAGAAAAAAATCAGGTGAGCAGAATATTTGGCTGAATGCTCCATAGAATATATAATTCCATACCAATCGTGTTGTGGCCTCACTCGGAGGACCGCCCCTATGGTCTGATAATCTTGTGTCTTTGGCTTTTAAATAACTGAAAGCAAAAAAGAAAACAAAATGTAACAAGTCTGTGATAACGACGTTCTGGGTTGGTTAGGAAACAATTATGGCTGATCTTGTGACAAAACAAAAATAAAAGGATAGCATGCGTGTTACTGGCAGGATCGCCTGGTGAAAATAAAAGAAACAAAGCTTAAAGTATAATTAAAGACTCAGCTTTTTTTTGCATATGACTACTGCTAGCAAGCAGGAATGATATATGCAAAACGTGTTTTTTTTTTGAAAAAAAAAACCCGCTTTGAAAAAGGGTTAATACTCACCTGTCTTCCCCGCGCGCTGACGTCCGAAAATGTGAAGATCTTCGGGCGACCGCAAAGCATCTTGGGGCGGGCGCATGCGCAGTTCACATTTTCAGCCGGGAGACGAGGAGAAACACAAGGTAAGTAGATGGACGCGTGCACCCGCATGTAGACACCGTGGGACAGGAAGTGCCAGCAAGGACAGAGGAGTCAGCGCTGGATCGGAGACCCGCAGCAGCGCTGGAGGGACAGATGAAAAGTCAATGAACGATAGGAATCACCAGCACTCCGCAAATAAAATTAAAAAAATGTCCATTTATTTGGACTAAACGTCACACATATCGCATAATCCAACGTTTCGGGACCACGCAGGATCCCTTCATTAGGGCAGAGATGTGACAGAGATGTGATGAAGGGGCCCTGCGTGGTCCCGAAACATTGGATTATGCGATATGTGTGACATTTAGTCCAAATAAATGGACATTTTTTGAATTTTATTTGCGGAGTGCTGGTGATTCCTATCATTCATTGACTGTTGTGCATGGCGCCATCTGTGATTGTCACTGCGAGCACCACTATTGCCACTTGGACCGGAAGCGCTGTAAGGAATGCAGGGGGACCTATTGTTTTCTGGGACAGATGAAAAGGACAGGAAAGAAGAAGACCGGATTAAGAAACATCATTTAAGGTAAGTGCTGACATTAACATTGGGGGAGGGAAACATTTTTTTGACTTTAATGTCACTTTAAATAAAGAAAACTAAAGCACCCATAGCAGCAAAAATCCCTTCGCTAACTCCCGAGAACATTTTTGGCATCATATATCTTATGACCTGACAGGTCCTACTGAACATCGAATAATACTCACCTCTCATCACATCGTACTCTATACTTTAGACGGAGCTGCTGAGTTCTGTACACCGAATGCTGTGATTAAAATGTTGACAATAACGATGATGAACACAAGTCCAGTAGCTGCATTTTCCAGCTTATCCAGCAGGACGTGTCTGGCAGGATTATTAAGATCGTATTTTACTGGAAATATAAAATAAAACACACAACCGTGAATATCATACCTGTGAGGGGATTTATAAAGATACCCAAAGATCAATAGCATCTCAACGTGAATCTAATGAATCCTTCTATACAAGTGAATCCCAGGTTCTCCAGACCTTCTAGGTCAGGTAAATATATTGGAAAGCAAACTGGAGTGTTGTAATAAGAAAAGCTGCACCCTGTTACACCTTTACATGTGCAGCTACCTTATTATTATATTATTGTTAGACAGGATTGATATAGCACCAACAGTTTGCGTAGCGCTTTACAATATCAAGAAAGACAGCACAGTTACAATACAATTCAAGACAAGATGTTTAGGAGCGCCTGTTAGAGCTTACAAATCACCTGGATTGCCATATGCCATGCAACAGGCTGCCTGTAATTAAACAGACACAAACCGTATACACTATATAAAGAATATATACAGTGTGTGTGTGTGTGTGTGTGTGTGTGTGTGTGTGTATATATATATATCTATATATAGATATATAGATATATATATATATAAACAAAATGAAAAGTAGAGAAATTCAAATCAAATCAATATTTGATGTGACCACCCTTTGCCTTCCAAACAGCATCAATTCTTCCAGGTACACTTGTACACAGTTTTTGATGGAACTCGGCAGGTAGGATGTTCCAAATAGCTTGAAGAACTAAGCACAGATCTTCAGTGGATGTAGGTTGCCTCGTATCCTTCTCTCTCTTCCTGTAATCCCAGACAGCCTCGATTATGTTGTGATCATGGCCAAACCATCACTTCCAGGACTCCTTGTTCTTCTTTACGCTGAAGATAGTTCCTAATGACATTGGCTGTATGTTTGGGGTCATTTTCCTGCTGCAGAATATATTTGGGGTCAATCACACATTTACCTGATGGTATGGCATGATGGATAGGTATCTGCTTGTTCTCCAAGATGTTTAGAACATCCTACCTGCTGAGTTCCATCAAAAACTGTGTGCAAGTGTACCTGCAAGGATCTGCTAAGAGAAGCTGTTGTGCAGGCAAGGGGGTTACACCAAATATATTGGTTTGATTTGGATTTCTATTTTGTTCATTTTACTTTCCATTTTGTTAATTGATAAAAATAAAAAGACACTTTTATTTCTGAACGCATTCTTACTTTACGGCATTTTTTTCACACCTGCCTAAAACTTTTGCACAGTACTGTGTACACACACACACGCACACATATAAACATATAAAAAGACCCAAACTAATTACTGATCCCTCTAAAGGTGCCCATACACTGCACGATTCTCGTACGAGAATCGCGGGAAATCCCACGATCGTACGAGAATCGTGCAGTGTATGGAAGGCGTGCGACCGTTTCTACTGTACGGTCGCACGTATTCCGTCGAACCAGCATGCTAGAAAGCCTGCCGGGAATCGTACGATTCTCGGCGAGTTAGTGGCCTGCTGGTTCGACAACTGCCGAACGGGCTGGTGTGCGCACGCGCACACTGCCCGTTTGCAGTCATTGTAAGCCCGCCCCTCATTACAGTCATCGTAAGCCCGCCCCTCAGGGGGGCGGGCTTGCGATGATCGAGAGTACGATCTGCCTGTCCAAGATGGGCAGATCGTACGTTTTTTTAATCACTTTACAACCATCGCAAGACTAAGGTCTTGCGATGGTTGTACAGTGTATGGCCACCTTAAAGGTGCCCATACACCTGACGATTATCATACGATAATCGCAGGTGATCCCGCAATCATACAATAATCAGCAGGTGTATGGGCAGCGTGCGGCCGCATCTACTGTACGGTTGCACGACTTTCGTCTTCTTAGCATGCTGGAAAACCCGCCGAAAATCGTACGATTTTTGGCGGGTTGGTAGCGTGCTCGGAAGACGAAAGCCGCAAGCGCACACTGCCCGCTCAGCGTTGCAATCATCGGCGATGCTTGCAAGTACGATCTGCCTGTCCAAGATGGGCAGGTCGTTCGAAATTTTAATGACCTTACAACCATCGCACAAAGGTTGTGCGATGGTTGTAAGGTTTATGGCCAGCTTTAACAAGTAAAAAGTGTACTTTAAAGTGCTCTCTGGAGTGCACATCCTTACAGCACCTTAACTGAGGACACTACCCCGCTGGAAGAACACGTGACCAGCCAATTGCTAGGCTAAAGCGTTGTCACTCCCCCAGGCTGCTGAAACAGGGGACCTCAATACCAACTAAAAGCAAAAAGCTGGGAACGAGGAAGCACCACATTAAAGATAAAAAATATGAGGGAGTGGGAAATGTTACTTCCAGAGACACTGAAACCTAGGCCTGCATGTGCAAGGTGACAGGGTCTCTTTAAGCTTCCCTTTCTAACTTGACCTGGAAAATCTTCATCAGTATCAGTCCAGCTGCTGCCAACATCACTGAAACCTTCTGCCAGTTCTGACTGCGGCGGGCTGAGAGTTATTCAAGGTTATGACTGATTCTAGTGACATAAGCACACAGACAAAGATTTGAAATAACATCACTGCTGCTGGGCTGTGCACTTGTCTCTTCTGAGCCGTTGATGTGCCACACACTAAATATACAAACGTCATTCACCGTGTCACAGCTGGGAAGAGCTGCAATCCAAGCTCCAGGCCTTTACTTTCGGTTTATTAATAATGAATTCACTTCTCATATTACTGCCAGGCACTTGTATTAGCCGAGCAAGTAAACTTCACACACCACCTAGCCATAAAAGAGCCGGATAGAAACACTACGTATTTACCAATGAATATTCTCTGCACCCAAGACTAGACATAGGTATAATCATTCATTTATAAAGCGGTAATTGTTCTCTCTGCTAAGATGTAACCCAACAAATGTGCAATTTACAGTAATGGCCTTTGTAGGGGAATCATAGATAAATGTGTTGGGAAAATGTGGTGAATAAGGCAAGTGGATATCAGCAGTACTTCAGCCGACAGAAAGCTACTGGGGGGACTTATCAAGACTGGAGCAAACAGAATCTGGAGCAGTTGCCTATGGCAACCAATCAGCTTCTCTCTTCAGTTTGCTAAGGTAAGATTTGAAAAAGAGAGAGAGACGCTGATTGGGTGCAGGTCCAGTTTTGATAGATTCCCCTCCACTGTGTTTGTACAGAATTTAGCACCTGCTGGCTGCAAATGGTATATATAAAATAGTCATACACAATCATTTGCCAGATTAAAAAAGAAATAAGAAAGAAGATCATAAAATATTTTATTGTAAAAATAAATAATTAAAAAATAAAAGAGAGAGAGAGAGAATGAGAATCAGTGATGTCACCTACCAGGTTTACCAGAGCGGAAAGAGGAAGCCGCTGCAATTATATCACATTAACCTAATAAAACCCTGGACGGATAGTGAGTCTCTTTTAGCAGAACATGACCCTAAATTATCACCCCTGAAAGGTATACTAGAGGTTAGGATGTCGGAGACTTTGTCTGCTACAGAGCAGTAGATCAGTTCTTGGAGAAAAATTCGAGAGGTATTTTCAGAGTTACCTGGCCAAACTAATGTTATTTATTTACCCTGACATTGTGACTGAGTCTCATATCAAAGTAAAGACCTTATTGGGTACCTCAAGCTCAGAGAAAATCCATAAGGAAGGGGTACAGAAAATGTTCACAATTGGGGAATACAGGAATAAACAGTGAGTGGTCAAGTCCCTAAGCCAGATGGCAACGTGAGGTTATGCAACAACCTCAAACTTGATGCTTTCCTATACCCTGTTGGAGGAGTTGAGAGGAAGTTTGGGTCCCGCCAGGTATATTACTATTTTCATGTAAAATTATAAAACTCTGCTCTTCTAATTCTCACCTAATGCTTCAAGCATTCAGCTGCTGTATAAGAAAGAGTATAAACACCCTCTCAGCAATCAATGGTACAAAGTGCTCCAATAAAGTGCAGCTACACATATATGTGCATAACAATCTACTCATAAATTATATATTCACAACAATAAAAATACAATTATAAAAACATAAATTCTACTCTGCAATGATAAACTTTCAAAACGTCCATGTAAGCCCTCAGTGACTTATGGAAAGCTGTGTTGACTTCCAAGATAATGCATTCACATTTGACAGGGAGTCACACCTCTCCCCATCCGTGTGTAACACATCTCCCAGAAACGCACTCTCCGGATGAGGTGAACCATTCAATTGAAATGGTCATAAAGCGCTCACTGAAATGGTAACTTCTCATTCAGGTTACTATATCCAATTTCCTGGGATCAGAGTATCCGATTTTGTCAGTACCGTGTAACTTATATCTCAGTCCTCCTCCTGTCCTTCTTACTCCCAAAGCCACTCAGGGGAAAATTACACTAAAAAGGCGTAACTCTATAGAAATTATCTTGATTAAAACAAAGTATAAAACATCCACGAAAGAAGACTGTTCCATCACCGCGTGTAGAACATGCTCTATAAAGTCAGAGCAACAAACCACTGTAAGATGCGGCACATTATTTCCGATGATGGCTCCCACTTCTAGTGACATCAGCGTGTACCCACCCTCCAACGCGTTTCATCATGTGACTTCCTCAGGGAAGGCCTTGGGGGGAGGAGGAGGAATGAGATATGTTACACGGTACTGACGAAGTAGGATACTCTGATTTTGTAACCTGAATGAGAATTTTAGATTGAATGGTTCTCCTCATCCAGTGAGTGCGTTTCTGGGAGCGGTGTTACACACGGATGGGGAGAGGTGTGACTTACTGTCAAATGTAAATGCATCATCTTGGAAGTTCAACACAAGCAGTCACGGAGTGCTCACATAGACTTTTTGAAAGTTTATCATTGCGGACCAGAATTTATGTTTTATAATTGTATTTTTATGAATATATCATTTATTAGTAGATTGTTATGCAGATATATGTGTAGTTGATCATCACTTTATGTGCTTTACTGGAGCGCTGGGCACTTTGTATTTTTGATATTACTAAAGGGTATTGGTAGGTTCCTGTAACTAACAGGCCACAGTAAAGGACATCTTTTGTGACACCAAATGGGCTGCACCTTCATGTGGACCTCCCTTCTGGCTTACATAGGGGCCCCGGTCTCAATCCAAAGAATGATGGAACGCATTATTTGCCCCCACAAAGCATATCTACATGATGTTATCATATTTAGTATTGACTGCAATTCCCACCAACAAAAGGTCCAAACAGTTTTAGATTCCATTCTTAAGGCTAGATTAACAGCCAATCCACCAAAATGCACAATAGGCCTGGGAATGCTCAGTATTTGGGCTACAGCAATGGGTGGGT